CTCCGGGTCAGCGGTGGGACGCCGGGCCTGCGCTGTCTGCGGCTGCTCCCAAGGCCGGCCTCCTTTTTTAAAGTTGGGCGGGGCGGGGCGTGAGACTCAGGTCCCACTCTCCCCTGGCCTGCTCGGAGGTGGGTGTGGCCCGGTTAGGAGCCCTGTAACCCTGGCCCGCAGCGTGACCTCACCTGTATGCTGCACAGAGATGCAGCCCTGCAGCCCTCCCTCCTGGGCTCAGGGGCTCAGAAACGCGAACAACGACTACGGGGACATCAATAATTAACATTTATTGAGCACCTACTGTTAGGCAGGTAGACATCAGGGATCCTGAGGGACAAAGGAGTCCAGAATAGCGTGCTTTGCCAGTTATAGTTAAGGTCTGAAAAAACAGACTTCAGTGTGTATTGTAACGCATTTATAATGATTTATTAGGTCTCAGACCCAAAATGACCCCATGACGCACAATTATGTTTTATGCTTATGCATTGTGCACATTCACGGTGCTACCTGGCCACCTGGTTATCTATTTTCAGAACAAGGAATATAGCATTGTGGTGTAGGAGTGATTGTCATGGTCCACAACCCAATGGTATCAGAAAGGGAAGCATTCTTTCTTTAAAGACACTCCCACTTCGGGCTGAGGTCTGATTTCATTTTACTTATTTACTACTTATTTATTTATTTACTTTGGTTTTTTGAGGCCGGGTCTCCATATATAGTTCAAGCTGGCCTTGAACTCACTATGTAGGTAAGGCTTGCCTTGCAGGGACCCTTTTGCCTCAGCCTCCCAAGTTCTGAGGTTACAGGCAAGTGCCACCATTCCTGCAGATTAGAGCTTTTGTTTTGGGGGGTTTTGTTTTTTTCCTTCTGTACTAGGGACCTTGTGCTTGTGAGGTAGGCCCAGGGCCACTGAGCTAAATCCCTGGCCCAGATTAGAACTTTTTAAAAAATAGGTTTCTTACAAGGTTAAGACTCCATAAGGAACACTGACTGTTACGCTTTGTGTCTTGTCCCCTAAAGCCTTGTGCAATCATAGGGCTTTTTCAGAGGTGACTGCATCTAGACTGTGTGATGCTGGGATTAAGGGTGTTTGACTACTAAACCATCGCACTGATTGGTTTGGCACCCTCTCCAATCCTGTTAATCTGGATAAGATAAAAGAGGCAGGAAGACATATGTCTTCCACTGCCATGAATTGTTTCTCCTCTGCAATTCCACCCTGCCTTGGAGCTAGCCATGGACTGAAACCCTACAAACTGTGAATTAAGTAATCCTTTCCTCCTTTAACTTTGGATGTCAGGTATTTTGTCTCAGCATGAAGAAAAGTAACTAAGACACTGACCATCTGAAAAGAACAAGGAAGACATTTTATAATTTCAGAGTAACCTCTTAGAAAAACATTGATAAGCATCATGATCACCATAGTTCCTTGAACCCTAGGAATAAATCTTGTATGCATAAAAGGACACCCAGATGCCTATGTGCCTGCCTTTTTTTTTTTTTTTTTCAGTACCAGGTATCAAACTCAGGACCTTGAGCTTGCAAGGCAGGCGTGGCACCACAGAGCTAAATCCCTGGCCCTGTGCCTGTCTTCTTGCTTGAAAGCATAAATCTACAGCTGATTTACAGTAAACCCTACCTACCTACCTGCCTATACCTACCTGTTCTACCTATGTGTCTTAACTGAACACTTTCACAGGAGCGCAAAGGACTGAGTAATGAGGGCTGGTATCAGAGTGCTTGGCTTCTAGCTAACACTATGTGCTGTGCACAGAATTTAAATCCTTTACATACATTAATTTTTTGTTTGTTTGTTTTGAGATAGGGACTCGCTATGTAGTTCTCTCGGCTCACCTTGAACTTGCTAGGTGCCCAGGCTGTCCTCTAACTCAAGGGGATCCTCCTGCCTCAGCCTCCTGAGTGCTGGGATTGGTGCATTAATCTTGCAGCAATCCTAGAGGTTAGCCACTATTAATGAGCTGAATCCACAGATATAGAAGTAAGGTCAGACACTCAGCAGAGCTGGAAGAACCCATGACTGCCAGGCCTGGGCAAGAGTTTGACAGCCTCAGGCTGGCTCCCCTGGGGCTAGAATACCTGGGCTCTGCCACTCTTCTCCCAGTGCCTCCTTCAGTTGTAAGAAAGCCTGCTTTAAAGAGGTTTTAGAAAGCATGGAGCATGGTAACTTGAAAGTGCTATTGTTGTTAGCAGCAGGCCTAACTCACCCTGCTCCCACCCCAGTACCCTTTCCTCTGGAGCCTTGGGTCTGACTGCAGTTCCCTTGAGGAGCAGGGAGAAAGGAGAAGCAGTGGAGGGCCCATGGGTGTGGCCCTATGCTCTCTGTGCTCCCAGGATAGGAACTGGGCTAGAAGGCAGTTACAGGCTCTGCTTCTGAGCTGCTCAGGCCTCCTGTTTGTGCCTGTTTAATTTCCTTAAAGGGGAGTAGCAGTACCTGCCCTACTCGCCTATCACTAATTCAGCACACTGAGCGCCCCTTAGGTACCAGAAGCACAACCGTGAAGGAAATAGACAAAGCCCTCACCAGGCCTGATAGTTCCTAAAATGGTGGAGGAGTGGCAGTCAAAGACTCCTACCAATTTAACTTTTTTTTTGATACCAGGGATTGAACTCGGGTCCTTGCGCTTGCAAGGCAGGCCACTGAACCACTGAGCTAAATTCTCGGCCCACTCCTACCAGTTTAAACACACACACACACACACACACACACACACACACACACACACACACACACACACACACACACACACACACACACACACACACACACACACACACACACACACACACACACACACACACACACACACACACACACACACACACACACACACACACACACACACACACACACACACACACACACACACACACACACACACACACACACACACACACACACACACACACACACACACACACACACACACACACACACACACACACACACACACAAAGAATAAATGTGAGCTGGGGAATTAACTCAGTGGTTCTGCCACCTGCCTTGCAAGCTCAAGGACCTGAGTTCGATCCCTGGTACAAAAAACAAAAAAACAAACAAAAAAAAAAACCACACACACAAAGACTCCTACCAATTGATGGAAAATTCCAACTGAGGCAAATGCTTTAAGAAGAGGAATGGAAGCCGGGTGTGGTGGTGCATGCCTATAACCCTAGCACTCAGAGGCTGAGGTAGGAGAATCACCACGAGTTAGAGGCCAACCTGGGCTACATAGTGAGTTCAAGGCCAGCCTGAACTACAAAGTGAGACCCTGTCTCATAAAAAGCAAAGAAGAGGAGTGGGTGCCTCTAGGAGTGTTCATTCAGGATCTGATAGGAGAGAAGAATCAGGCCTTCCCTGAGAACTGCTGGGCAGCTGAAGGCATGGATGTCTGGAGACTGGCCCTGTACCGTGTGTGACCCTCAGGCTGGATTCTTAGGGCTCAGGGTGGCTCCATTTTTGATGACCCAAACTGTCCCTGGATGTATTGCTACTCATTGACTATCCTCATCTCCCCTGAGTCAGAAAGCATCTGAGGCTCAGAACACTCCTCCCACAGATATCTGGAGATAGGCAATTCCACATTAGGGCATCCAAGCTTCTGGATGCTCCCCTCCCCCACCAACACAAAGCTTGGCCAGTTAGATCAGCAGCAGGAGGAAGAGGTGGCTGGCTGAAACCTTTGAATTATTTCCCAGATAAAGAACTAGGCTGCAGAGACCAAAGTCCCTCAGCTGGGAGTGGTAGAGGCTGTGGTTCACACCAGAGCCAAAGCCTGTGGTGCCCACTCAACCAGAGACTTCTTCTGACTCCTTGAGCCCAGCCCCAGTGACACTGGCATTGCCGTTCTGCTCAAACCATCCAATGGTTTCCATTTCATTGGATGAAAAGAAAGCTAAACTGTTACTGGGTAGCTCCTTCCAAAAGTGGCTCGCCAAATAAACATTACCAGGTTTTGTGGTGCTCACGTCTCCTTCTGGAGTTGGATTCCAGCTTCTTCTCATCTCAAACAAAGAAATGGACCCAAAGTCAGCAAAAAGGAAAGGAGCAAAAAGCAGTGACACAGTTTATTTGAAAAAGTAAAAGTGAAGAGTGAGGGAGAAACCGGCTCTGCAGAGTGAGCGAGTTTGGGCTGAGTAAAAGAGGAAAAAAACAAGATGAAAGTATACCCTGGAGGACCCAGGGTAGGCTGCTGCGAGGAAAGCCACATAGTGAGCTCCTCTTGACGTCTGTGTCCTTTTATACTGTTCACATCTCGAGGAAACCTCGGAGAACGTCTAGGTATGGGTCTTGAGAGGCAGGGCTGGGATCCCACACCTCAGGCCGGGGTCAGGCCTAAGCCATCCCACTGAAAACCCACTGGAGTTCTTGGGAAAAATTCGT